CTTGCCCACTCTCATGGCCTTCCGAAAAGCTGTTAAAACCTGGCTATTCCGGCAGGCCTGGGGCTGTTGACCTCACTGTTGAGGTCCAGCCCCGATCAGATTGGGTGCATGTGTGATGTTTTTAAATTGTTTTTCCTTTATTTTTTTATTAATTCCTTTTCTTTTTACTTTGTAAGCCGCCCGGAGTCCTTCGGGATTGGGCGGCCTATAAATTTACTAAATAAATAAATAAACAAATAAATAAATAAATAAATAAATAAGTGTAGAGTCCCCTGATAAACTGTAAACATATTAAGGAATGAAAAAAAAGAGGGGAAAAACAAATGACTAAGGAAAAGAAGCAAAATTTAAACTATGAGAAATGATAGTGGATCCCTCCCAAGATCATCATTAGATGGGAAGAACAAACAACTGGGGAACAGGAAACTCATTTATACAAAAAAGCCCACAATAAAACCATTTTCATAAAATTGCATTGACTAGATCTGAAAAGATTAAAATGCCCATTTTCTTGTATTTTTATTTCCAGTTGGAAACCAGGATGTATAAACTTAAGGGAAAAATGAATGGCTATGTAAGAGTAGCTACCTTAAAACAGCACATCCTCATTGCTTTTGTTTTATTTGTAAATTCATCTCCCTGGGGTTACGGGTTATGATGGTCAGACTCAAAACTCTAGAGCTTCAGTATACAAAGGAAATATATAGGTAAAAAGTAAAGGTTCCCATTGCACATATGTGCTAGTCGTTCTCAATTCTAGGGGTCGGCACTCATCTCCATTTTAAAGCCGAAGAGCCAGTGCTGTCCAAAGAAATCTCCATGGTTATGTGGCCAGCATGACTAAGCTCTGAAGGCGCACGGAACACTGTCACCTTCCAGTGGTGGGTTTGTGCCGGTTTTATTACCGGTTCGCTCGTGTGCTCGCTCTCTCATGCATGACGCTTCTACGTCTGCACAGAAGTGTGTGGGCAGGTGGGCGGAGCCTCCCGCCACCAACACTACCGCTTCGATCAAACCAGGAGGAATCCACCTCTGTTAAGGTGGTTCCTATTTTTCTACTTGCATTTTTACATGCTTTCGAACTGCTAGGTTGGCAGAGGCTGAGAGCTCACTCCATTACATGGCACTAGGGATTCAAACCACTAAACTGCCAACCTGATTGAAAAGCTCAGCGTCTTAGCCACTGAGTCACCGCGTCCCTCATACATTGAATTTACCAATTAATTCTGGAATTTACGATGGTTCTCACCCAAATGGATCTGTGTATGAGAAATTAGGTCATTGGTCATCCTGAAGCTCTTTCCATGTTCCGCGTACTCGTATGGCTTTTCTCCTGTGTGAATCCTTTTATGAGAATTAAGATTACCCCTCTGAGTAAAGCCTTTTCCACACTCCAGGCATTTATATGGCTTCTCCCCTGTGTGAGTTCTTTTATGGGAATTAAGATGACTGCTATTAGTAAAGCCCTTTCCACACTCTGGACATTTATATGGCTTTTCCCCCGTGTGAGTTCTTTTATGGGAATTAAGATGACTGCTATTAGTAAAGCCCTTTCCACACTCCGTGCATATATATGGCCTCTCTCCTGTGTGAATCCTTGTATGTCTCATAAGCGAAGCTTTTTGACAGAAGCCCTTTCCACAGTCTACACATTCATATGGCTTCTCCCCTGTGTGGATTCGTTTATGAACAGTAAGCGATCCACTTTCACAGAAGCTCTTTCCACACTCCATACATGTATACGGCTTCTCTCCTGAGTGGATCCTTTTATGAACAGTAAGAGACCCGCTTTCACAGAAGCTCTTTCCACATTCCAGACATTTATAAGGTTTTTCTCCTGTATGGGTCCTTTTATGGGAAGTAAGAGTACTGTGGTAGCTGAAGCCCTTTCCACACTCCATGCATTTATATGGCTTCTCTCCTGCATGGATCCTTTTGTGGGAATTAAAATGACTGCTTTGAATAAAGGTCTTTCCGCACTCCATGCATTTATATGGCTTATCCTCTGAATGGATCCAATTATGGGAAATAAGATCACTGCTGTTAGTAAACGACCTTCCACACACTCTGCATTTATATGGCTTCTCCCCCGTGTGAATCCTTTTATGACAAGTAAGATTACTGCTTTGAATAAAGGTTTTTCCACATTCCATGCATTTATATGGTCTTTTCCCTGCATGGATCATTTTATGGAAAGTAAAAGAACTATTTTGACTGAAGACTTTTCCACACTCCACACATTTATACGGTTTTTCTCCTGTGTGGATCCTTTTATGTCTCATAAGGGATGAATTTTCACAGAACGCCTTCCCACACTCTGAACATTTGTATGGCTTCTCCCCCAGGTGGATCTTTTTATGGGAAGTAAGGTGGCTGCTATTTGTAAAGCACTTTCCACACTCCATGCATTTATATGGCTTCTCCCCTGTGTGGATCCTTTTATGGGAAGTAAGGTGACTGCTCTGAATAAAGGTCTTTCCACACTCCACACATTTATACGGCTTCTCCCCTGTGTGGATTCTTTTATGGGAAGTAAAGTAACTCCTTCGACTGAAGCTGTTTCCACACTCCATACATTTATATGGCTTTTTTGCTGTGTGGATCATTTTAGGAGAGGTAAGGGATCCAGTTCCATGAGAAGGAATGAAAGTACAATTGTAATTTTTTCCATTGTCTGTACATATATAATCATTTCCTTTTGTTTTGGTTGGATAATGTTCGTTTACATCTAATTTACCACTGAAAGGTCTTGTACTTTCCCCAAAATCTTTGTTCTTTATCTTTCCACATTCAGCAAGAAAGTCTTGCATTGGAGCATCAATGGAAGATGAACTTTCCTCTTTCCAATCATTTGAGTGGCTTCTCTCATAGCTTTCGAGTTTCATCTGCACTGCAGGTTTCTCTGTTCTGTCTCCAGAGGTGTTCATTAGGAATGGTTCCCCAGAATCCTCACTTTCCTTCCCATTATTACCTTCAAATGAAAAGAGAAATGAAAATGATAGCAAAGTTAGGGAAAAGATCAAACTGTGGGAAGTGGTAAGAATTTCCTTATGGAACTCTACCAAATTCCACTATTTCAATATCTTGAACTTCTTCATATTTGCAGAGACACAGGATAGATATAATTTCTATATTTACGACTCAAAAAAAAATTGAAAACATCTAAAACATTCTGAAAAAACCTAAAGCAGCCTGAAAAGATCTATAGCATCCTTTTTATTTATAATTATTAATACATATTCAAATCTAATCCATAATCAACTTGAATTAAGAATCATGAGAAATATCCAGGAAATCAAACTTTTATTACAATCACTGACCAGGATAAAGGTGAGATACAACCAATTAGTAATTTCTTTAAAATGCTAAAAATATAAAATATGTATATAAAAACAAAAATACTGGATTAACATATTTTGCGGAGTATAAGACGTACCGGAGTAT